CATTCTCCTTGACATCCCGTCCAGCCTCTTTGATGTACCCCAAGGCTTTTGGGAGAGTGGACAAGAGACCTGCACCCCACTCCCTGATGGGTCTTCCTTGAACAGCAAATGCAGTGAGCAGAGATGAGGCAAGGGATCCAAGGTAACCTGTCATTAACAATAATTGATAATGGTAATGTTTATAATTATTATAATATCATTACCTTCACTATAATGACTTCCATACATTAAATGCCAATGCGGGTAAAGGCGCACAGACTAAGTACACTCAACCCTCTCTAATGGACACCTCTAGGACTTACATTTTGTGTCTGTGTTATAGAGAGTTGACTAAGAGGAGTAAAGAACGGCAGGGACCAAGTCTATGTGTCGGTTTTAGGGAGGTGTCCATCCTATAGAGGTATCTACTGAGAGAGTTGACTGGGCCTTACCAACAGTACACATTCATTAATAATCCCATTAAAAATGAGGCATTCATTCATGTCAAGATGTAAAAGGAATAATTTTTGAAGCTTTCTTTTCAAAAACTACCAATCACCCAGCAAACATTTTCTTGATTCACTTAATCATGTACAGTAAAACATTATTATTTTGTACTTTTTCATGATGTTCAGTGCTCCTTAATTCATTTCAGCTTAACTGCTGAGGAGGAAGCACTCTTGCAGAAATTAATTAGTCCAGCAAACAACACTTAAATCCAACAAAACCTGACTGACATTGCTGACTAGTGAAGCAGTTTTGAAACATAAAAACCTCATTGTTGTCAGGTGTGATGAATATTGTCTATTGCCACTAGCCGTAGGTTTAGGTTTCTCCTCATCCCTGTTAAGGTCCTCAAGTTTTATTTCACTCTTACTGAAGCTTCAACAAACAATTCTTTGCACTATTCTTCTCACACTTTTTCTGTTCGAAGTGAGGAATCTGTTTAAAAATCAGGACATTTTGTCTATACTGAATACTACCATCTCCCCATGATATTCAAAAACAAATTGTGATGCCTGTATCTATGGTTGGGGGCTGAAACAATCCAGGTAATGGGCCCAAACATTTCACTTCCTGTGTGTCAAATTTGGTAGTGACCAGAAGTTTTTAAGAATTTTTGGATTTTGATCTCTAGGATTGACATTTATAGGGCAAGGGGAAATAAGTTAAAAGGCATAAAAGTGACAAAAGTACCTGTTGGGTGGTTGTGGGTCATTCTTCCACTCTCAACACTAACGGCAATCAAATCATCAAGTTTCTCAGGGGAGGGATACAATAAACCAATACACATGGAGCGCATGGCAGCCCCACAGCCACCCCCTCGGGGATTAAATGGCACCACATAACCATCTGGCTGACCTGGTCGAAGTCTTGCACAATTTGATAATGTTGTATTTCCTGGTGCTCGTCCAACCATGTCTCTCTGAAAAGACATTGTAAGAAAGGTATTTTCCAAAATTTTCTTCAGTCCACCTTGCAGCTAAAATCACTTGTTGATAAGAGAGTACTTTTTGTCAAGAAACGGGAACTAGATCATTTCAGTCATACACAGGTTAGAGGCATGCAATTTCAATAATTTTTAAAACACGATCAGAGACAGAGTGAGCCTCTGTATGGGTATTTCCGACAAAATCAAAGTCACAGCAATCATCATTGATGAAGCGACAATCTTACAGATTAAAACAAGGATCGCATTGCCATTTCAATCAAGTTTGACATGCAATAAAGGCAAAGAAACCAGCCAAAAAGCCTGCTGCGAATTCAGAGTTTTTCTCAGCTTAGTTTTTCATTTCCGTCATCGTTGTGATTGCCTGAGCTCACTAGTGGCATTACCACGCAAAAAAAATCTTGATATACGACAATTTTGCCCAAAAAACTGATTATTTGAGGGAAGACGCCCAACAAAATGGACATCTGCAGGTACCCGTAGAGAGGCTCACAGAGTCATACACAGAGTCCTGAGGCTTCTTGACCAGTAGGTGTTTAGTGGAGACTCTGAAGGCACTAGAATAATATAAGGTTTTTATTGCCTGGTCGCTTTAATTTCAGAAATTTAATTTGCAAGAAAACTGCGGACTTGATTGAATTAAAAACACTGTTTTGTAGAAGAAAACAATGAGAAGCTCTATTATTCATGTTATTCGTTATTTGAAGTTCACTTACATGTAAAGCAAGATTACCTACATGGACAAAACTTGTCCATGGCAGGATTTCTGCAGGAAAAAATTCAACATCCTAAGAGTCTCATCCCACAGACCAGGAAGCCTGATGGCTCTGGGATAGCTGAGGGTCTGGCTCTCTGATTTTGCTGCGGTAGCTTTGGGATCCCACCCCCACTCTTGACAAACATTGTATTGCTATCAGTGTTACACAACAGTTTTCGCAGTGACCCGATTTGGGGATGGGATAAACCATATACCAGTCCAAAGCTCTCCCACTTTTGGAAACGTGTGAAACAATAGCTTGATGGGTTAGAGTTTTGCGTTAATCCGGCAGTCTTTGCTCAGTTTTTAGTAAT